CGAGAAGGGGTCAGTGGACGCCCAGGGAAGAGGCGGCATCTCTTTGGCAACTGCTCCTGCGCGGGACCCCGGCCCCGCCCCGCGTCCCTCCGCCGACGAGAAAACAGATCTGTTGCTGTTCCCGGTGGGGCTTAATTCATCCCCCTCAGCTCGGTGTCCATCCACAGGCCTCCTTCCGCTCCTCTCCAGCCTCGCCAGATTCGGTGTTTAAAAACAATCCTCAAATCTGGGAACAGCAGTCCCCGGCTGACCCGAGGGGTGGACCGCAGAGATGCGGGCCCGACTCGTGATTCCGGATGCGGCCGGAGCTCAGGGGAATCCTGCTCATCCAGAAGGTTCTTCCAGTTACTTGAGCTTTATTGCCGACCACGAGCTACCCTTGTGGGCCGTTCACCAATTTTCTGAGCAATAGAACCCAGGACCATAAATCTGATCTGTGTGTGGGAAGTGTGCTTTCTCGGGGGTGCTGGGGAAGGACCCGGAAATTCCTGCCGGTCCTAGCGGGAGAGCAAGTACAGGCCACGTTGGCCTCCTATGCGAGGCGCTAAGTGCCCTGTGTGGCCCTGAGCCGCAGTGTCCTTTAGGAGGCGGGACTTGATGATCCCCCTCTCCGGCTGGCCGGGGATTACCTGAGATGGCACAGGGAAAACTCACAGGGGGCTTTGCGAGGGGACCAGCCAGAGGAAGCCGGAGCCGGAGCCACCCGGCGGGAGGAAGGGTGCCCACCTTTCCCATAGGTGACGCCTGTGGGGGTCCAGGGGGCAGGACCTGACGGCGTGACACCAGAGCTCAGGGTCCCTGAGCCCACGTCCCCCACTGCAGACCCCATGGGGCTTTGGCCTTGTGAACGTAGGTGCTATGGATCGCGTGACCCCTGAGAACGGACCAAGGCGCGCAGCCGGCCAGCGAGGCCGTGACTTTCCAAGCCACTTTCGGACCCACCCGGGGCCGTCTTCTGAGTTTTGCTGTCTCGTTAGAAATGGAATTTTTATGTAACTTCCTGCGTGACCGCGATGGGTGTTTCTTCCTCCATAGACTCAGTCTTCAGCTCAGAGCTGCCCCCAGCCCCCGGGGAGGTAGGGCAGCGCCCCTCCTTGGGCCCCGCGCCCCCACGCCACCCACAGCGCTGTGGCTTCCGTTGTCCCCCCCCCCCCACATTGACTTATTCCCCGGGCAGCCCCGGGGCCGGGGAGCCCGTTGGGCAGTGGAGTCTGAGCAGACCAGCTCGGGGCGGGGGACAAATGTGGCTGCAGGGTGTCCTGGACACCCCCCCTCACACACGCACACGCACACACGCACATGTGCTGGCCCTGAGGCCACTGTAGCTTCAGTTCCCCGCCCGCCACCCCCCACCCCCGTCCCCGCCCGCCCCAGACAGGCCTGAGGACCCATGGCCGGTGTTGGCCGGAGTGGGATTCTCACCCCGTCTGTGGCCATGGCTCCCGGCTGGCAGGTCCCTGGCCCAGGGCCCTCCGGAGCTGATGGAGGAGAGCATGGGGACCAATCACACAAGGTAGAGCTGGGGGGTGTCCGCGCCCGCCCCCCCCGTCCCTAGAACCCAGCTGGGAGGGACCCTGTCCCAGAGTGGGGGTTAGCGAGTGGCCATCGAGAGAACAAGCGAATGATTAAATGCAGTCAGACTTTAATGAGAGAAGTGATAGAATATGGCCTGTCTGCCTGGAGGGACAGACTTCCTCCAGCTGACGGATCAAGGCCGTCTCCTGGAGCCACTTCTAGGTGGCACAGGATGTGGGCCCTCAGGAGTGAGGGGGGACACCCGGGTGTGAGCGACACAGCCCCCTGGTATATGGAGGGCTGCGTAGGGGCAGGCGTAGCCGGAGCGAGCGCTGCATGCAAGGCAGAGGTGCACCCCCACCCCGAATTCATTCAACAAACCCTCTGGCCCTTGGACTCGCCCCTTCCTACAAGGGCCCGGGGCCGTGGGCCTTGGCTTGCTCACCTATAGAATGGGGCCATGGAGCAGCTTTCTCGGGGGACCTGTCACTCCCCACCCCCGCTGGTGCATCTTCCAGGATAGATCCCTGGGCCTCCTAAGTGCAGATCTGAGCTAAGCACTTTGAAACGCTTTAATCTCCTTCATCCTCCCAGGAGGGCCCTGAGGGAGGCGGGGAGGCGGCCCAGGCTCAGAGCAATTAAGCAGCTTACAGCCCGCAGGGCTCCGGTGGGCGGTGGGCGCAGAGAGGCCAGCAGAAGGGGTGGGGGGGCTTCCCCAGGGCCTGACGCAGCGTCAGCGTCAGCGAGCAACCACCGGATGGAGGTGTTTCGGCTTCACCCTCCCCTCCCCCCCAGCTCACCTGGAGGCTTCGCTCCGCCCCGCTGCCCGTCCCCGGTGGGGCCCAGCCGTCTGCTCCCTGCGTTTGGCCTGGAGTCCCATCCTGTCTCCCGCCCCCCCTCCCCCGCCGGGTGTCCAGCCTCTGGGTTACGAGGGGGACTTCCTGCTCTGCCTGCCACCAGGCAGTAGGACTTGGGGACTCCTCGGACCCCAGCTGGTGCCCCTGAGGCCTCCTGACCGGACTGTGAGCTCCTGAGGGCGAGGACAAGCCAGCTGGGGTGGCCCCGGGCCCCGAGCAGGTGCCCCTGGACAGGTGGGGGGGCGGTCAGAGGGCCATTCCTGGGGACAGCACCGTGCCCTCCCAGTCCCGTCTTCCGGAGCTGTGCTCAGGCAGCAAATCTCTCTAGCGTGTGCCCTGCTCTCAGACCTTCCCCTGGGGGGCGGAGGCCTTCACCAAGCGAAGAGACAGGATGGGGGCGCAAGGAACCCCAAATCCCTGCTGTGAAGTTGGGGTGCAGCCTGGCCGGGAGGGCGCACGGGGTCTCCACGGGGCGGGGAAGGGGGCCGTCCAGGCCTTTGCCATCTTCGCTTTGGGTACGGCTCCCGGGTGAGCCTCGAGGGCCCCTCACACCTCAGTGCAGATCCCAGCCTGGGCGGTTGCCACGGGAGGGTGCGTGGCAATGTCCTGGGGCCACAGGAAGAAACACCGCACGCCGAGGGCCCCGCAGCAGGAGCGTGCGCTCTCACAGCCTGGGGCCAGACACGGGGTGGGGGCAGAGCTGGGCCCTCCCAGCTGGGTGCTCCCAGGGGCTCCGCCGGGCTCTCCCCAAGCTCCTGGAGGCCCGCTGGCGACCTTGGGGGCTCACTGGCTTGTAGATGCATCACCCCAACCTCTGCCCATGTCTTCACGTGGCCTCCGTTCTGTGCATGTCTCCGTGTCCCAGCTTCTGCTTCTCAGAACGTCACCTGTCACGCTGCATGGGGGCCCGCCCTGCCCCAGGGTGACCTCGTCCTAACGACACCTGCAGCACCTCTAGTCTATATAAGCTTCCGTTCTGAGGTGCGCGGCTTTTAGGCCCACAACCCGAGGACTGGGGGGGACGCAGGCCGTGGGGCGCCATGAGGGAGGAGGGCGGCGAGCGGGGCCAGAACCCGGCGCGTGTTAGGTGCCCGGCAGATTTGTCCCCATTCCGAGACCTACACCTCTGCCACGTGCCGCTTACAGGGAGTCAGGGTCAGCCACGCCCGTTACCCAGAGCTTCTGCTTTCCCGCAGCTGCATCCCCGCACCCCTGCAGGGAGGGGCGATGTCGGCGAGGTTCAACAACATCACCCTGATGCGAAGCAGCCACCGAGGGCCAAGGCCCTGCCTCAGGGGGCCTCCTGCTACCCGCACCCCCAGCTGGCCCCCATTGGCCTCCAGGCTGCTCGCACCTCAGGGCCTTTGCACTTGCCGCTCCCTAGTGTGCTGAAGGGTTCCTCCAAACAGCCACAGCCACGTGCTCGATCCGCCTCCCTCAGGTCTGCCCGGCTGGCGCCTCCGCCTGAGGCCACCCCCGACCCCCTCCCCCGCACCGCGCCGCACCCGTACCTGGCTTTGTTCCCCCTCATAGCTTGGTGTCTTGTGGTTAAGTATACATAACATAACATTTACCTTTTAGCCATTTTTAGTGTACAGTTCAGTCCGTCCCCGAGTCTCTTCCCAGCCTCCCACACTGAAACCCTGTCCCCGTTGCACACCCCGCCGCCCCCAGCCCCTGCGCCCAGTGTCCCGCTTGCTGTCTCCATGACGACCCAGGGACCTCCCGTGAGTGGAGTCCTACGGGGCTGCCCTTCCGTGTCCGGGTCATTTCACTGGCACGGCGTCCTCGGGGCTCATCCGTGGGGGCACCGGGTCAGAGGGTCAGAATCCCTTCCTTTTTGGGGCAGAATCATATTCCACTGTGTGTACAGGCCCCTTTGTTTTCTCCGCCCCCTCCCCCCGCCCCGGGGACACTGGGGCTGTTTCGCCTTTGACCGTTGGGCCTCGTGCTGCCGTGAACGTGGGTGTGCAGGTGTCTGTCTGCGTCCCGCTGTCGCTTCTTCAGGACGCGCCCGGGAGCCTCGTAGCGTCTGAAACATCCACCTGCTGGTCTGCACAACCTCGCTGGGACGCAGGCCGGGCGGGGCCGGGGGCCGCCTGGCGGCTCTTCCCTCCACGGCTGCGTCCCTGATGCCTGCAAGGTGCCCGGCTCCTCGCGGACGAAGGAGGGGTTGACGGGAGGCACCGTTAACGGCCCAGCGGGGACATCTGGGTCCCGCAAGCCCCCGCAGGTGCCCCAGCCCTTGTCACGTCCCCCCTCCCCACCCCGTGCTCACCCCCCTGCGCTCCGGGCGCCACTGGCCTCCGCGCGCCCCTTCTTTCCACACCTGAGCCATCCGTCCGCCTTTGATTAAGTCTCATTTCACCGTGAAAAGAAAAGGCGGTGACGGTTGACTGGGGGGGGGAGGCCATTCATTCCAGAAAGGAAATTGGATGGTAGCGTTTCCATCATCCCCGGCCCGGCCCCGGCTCCCCAGCGCACACACTCGCTTCCCTGCCCGCCCCCCGCCCACCCCCCGCCGTGGGCAGCAAAGGCGGCGTCTGTACCCGCAGGCAAGGCGCCCACACCGGCCTCTCCTGGGTCTCGTTACACAGGCGGCTCTCGACGGATCGATGCAGAGGCCAAATGATGACCAGTTGTGGCCGGCAGTCCTTGAACGTGCTTGCTGTCCTCTCGTTGCTGGTTTCTGCAGGTAGACCCTCCGTGGGTGCCCGGGGGGGGGGCGGTCCCTTCCTGGGGTCAGCGCTGGCCCGGCCAGGGTTCTGGGGACTGGCAGGGAGGCGCTGGGCACCGACTGTGTGCTGTGCCCCGTGTGACCGCCGCGGGGGGGGGGGGGGGGGCGGCAAAGCGGTGGGTACCCTGGGAGCAGTCTTCTCACGGGTTCTCTCCCGACTCCTGAAAGTCAAGTCCAAATGTTGTGGTCATCCCATTGTATGGATGAGGAAACTGAGGCATAGAGCCGAGCTGGCTAGCCGGAGGGGAGAGCTAGTGAAGGGCTGGGGTTCTAACCTGCCTTGCGGCACCCGAACCCCCTCCTGGGCATCCGCTGAGGGAGTAGGTGGGCTCTCACACCCCCGTTTACCAAGCCGGGCATGAAGCGAGCCCTTTGGCTGTGCCCCAGCCAAGCTGGCTGACCGGAGAAGCAGTGGCCGGCTTAGCCCTGAGCAAGGCGCCTGCTCTGTCTCTGCCTCGGCCTCTGTCTCTGTCTCCCTCTCCATGTCTCTCTCTGTCTCTATCTCTCTGTGTCTCCCTCCATCTCTGTCTCTGTCTCCATCTATCTCTCTGTCTCTCTTGTTCGTTCATTCATGCACGGTGCCTCCTCGCGCCCTCTCGCTCTGGCAGAGCTGTTGACACCAGCTTCCTGCACTTGACCCCTTGTTGAGGGCCTGGTCCAGAAGGAGGCCATGAAGGGCCCTGGGGGCTGGGGGCTCCCCGGGCAGCAGAGCCAAAGCCAGGCCAAGGCTCAGGAACCACTGTTTACCACACTCCCCCCAACTCCTTTTCCGTGCATTAGCTCATCTGGTCCTCACCGCCACCTGGGAGACAGGAGGAAGTCCTCTCCCATTTTACAGATCAGGAAACTGAGGCTCAAAGAAGGACAGTGAACTGCCCAAGGCCACACAGTCACACGGCTGTTAGATGAGACCCATGTTGGCCCAGACTGTCCCCAAGCCTGGCAGACAGGGGTGCACTGTGGCCCTCGCTCTCTCCTCTCCACCTGGACTGGTTCTCCTGGTGCCTCAGGACCCACCAGCCTCCTACCAGAGTGTCCCTGTGTCCTCAGGACCCGGGCACAGCCTGAGACCTCACTGACCCCGGAAGCCAGGAGGCACAGCCCGGTTTAACCCACTCACACTCCCTGCTCGAAGCAAAGCTGATGCCTTGCTGTTTACAGATCCCTCCTCGGAGGTGCCCGGGAGGCTCCGGCAGCTCAGCTTATGACCTCACAGTCCGTGGGTTCGAGCCCCACACCGGGCTCTCCACTGACGGTGCGGAGCCTGCTTGGGATTCTCAGTCTCCCTCCCTCTCTGTCCCCTCCCCTGCTCGCACTTTCTCTCTCTTTGAAAATAAAGAAATTAACTTGAAAAAAAAAGGAAAACCTGCCCTCGAGCCCCCAGCCGTCCGGGACACCGGGGGTCTCCCTTCTGTGGGGGGAAGAGAGGCCGCGGCGGCGTGGGGAAGCCGCTGTGTCAGACCTGGCCCCCGGCCCCCAGCCCTGGCTCCAGCGGCTCTGAGCCTTCTCAGTGGCCTCCCTGTCTTTGCCAAATGGCAAATCTGGGGCGGCCGGTGGCCAGGGCGCCCCAGGGGGTTCCCCCACGCCCTGCCCTGCTCAGCCCCCCTCCCCACCCCATCTCTGGACAGTGGGCTCCCCTGAAGCTGAGTTCAAAGGCCACCTCCCTGCTCTGTCCCTTCCCTCCCTGAGGGTCCTCACCTGTCTGGACGGGGTCACCTCCCACCTCTCACCCCTCATCCCCACAGCCTTTCGGGCATCCTTCCTCGGGGCCAGTGGGTCCCACACCCGCGCTCATCAGCTCCCCCTGCAGGGCCTGCCTCCCACCCCAGCACTTTTCATTCAGAAGGTCTGCTGCGGGGCCTGAGAAGTGCATTGGTGACCCGCCCAATCTGCAGGGAATGCAGATGCAGCAGGTCAGGGGCCACACTTGGAGATCACTGCTCTGAGCCTCAGTCTTCTACTCTGTACAATGGGAGTACATGAGATTCAATGAAACAATGCACGCCCCACTAAGAATGAGGCATCCTTAGTGACCCCCCCCCATCTCCCCATAGGATTGTCTTCTGTTTCCCAGGGTCAAGGCTGAGCTTCCCTGACTCCTGAGACCCCGGGGGCCACCTCCCCACAGGGGTCGTGCCCAGCCCCACGAAAGAAGGTGCTGTACTTGGGGCACAGGATTTCACAGGCCACCCCAGCCAGCCCTGGCGCCCCGGCTCCCGAGGCCCGTCCGCCCACTGGCCGGCACAGCCGCCCAGCTGGGGCCCCCTCCCTGCAGCCCCGGGGTGGGCGGCGCGCGGAGCTGTGTGGGCCGCGCGGTCTGATTACCTCTTAGCAGAGACAGAGCTTTGAACTAGCTAAGGAGCTTTTGCAAAACCAGAGGCTTTGTGGTTGGAGAAATGTACTCAGCCAGAGAAGCCCCTTTTCAGCGATACAAATTAGATACAGCAATGCCTTTTATGAAGATACTAATTAAGCCCGAGACCGCGGGCTCCAGGTTTTTTCCATTGTTATATTTGCTTAGGCTTTGTCTCCTGTTCATCACCAGCGGCTTGGCTGGTAAATACCGTCCTGGGCTTGCAGCAGCCTCTGTGGCTGAATAGAGGCCTCTCGCCTTGAGCCGGGGGCTGGGGGTCCAGACCCAGGACAGCTCCGTGACCGTGAGACGGGGGCTGCGGCCAGGGCCGGCTCTTGGGGACCCCCGGGTCTAGGGCACTGGTTTAGTGCAAGCCATTGATACAGACGAGACGCTATTTCCTCCCAGAGGGGAGTCTGGTTCCTGCACCCGGGCTTCCTGGGCTTATCAGCAGGCCCGTCGCCGGCCCACAGGGTAGGAGAGGTTGTTAAAGCCGGTGACAGGGGGAGTGGAGAGGGCTGGACCTCAGACCCAGGCAGGCCCGAGTTGGATTCCTTCTACCACCTCTTACCGGCTCAAGCAGACCACTGTAGACCACTGAGCCTCAGTTTTTCCATCTGTAAAGTGGGATGGCCAAGTGGGTTAAATGAGATAGAGTGTATGAAGTGCATACTGGTGCTCAGTTAATGTGTCCTCATTGAGTGCTTGCTGTGTGCAGAGCCCGTGAGGCTTCAGGTGCAGCCCTGCCCGCAAGGAGCCCCCAGTCTGGGGGACACAGCGCAAGCAGGGCTGGTGTCAAGGGAGGCCTGGGATGTGGCAACAGCCCAGAGCCAGCTTCCTGGGAGAAGCGAGGCTCACACTGGACCAGAAAGCCTTCCCGGGGCGGGAGGAGGCTAGCAGCAGCCTGGAACAGGCTGACCGGGCGCCCCGTCCAGGCGGACCCCCAGGGCAGCCCCCCACTGAGCCGGGTGACTCTGTTTTCCAGTCCTGTCCGCGCATTTCCGAGTGTGTGAGCCATACACGGACCACAAAGGCCGCTATCACTTTGGCTTCCACTGCCCCCGGCTCTCGGACAACAAAACCTTCATGCTCTGCTGTCACCATAACAACACGGTGTTCAAATACTGCTGCAACGAGACAGAGTTTCAGGCGGTGATGCAGGCGAACCTCACGGCCGGTTCCGAGGGCTACATGCACAAGTGAGTACCAGGCTGGGGCCACAGCCCCGCTCCACACCCCCTCCCCTGGGGCGGCGGGGGGCTCACCAGACAGGACAGACCAGGGGGGTCTGGGAGGGGTCTGGGAAAGTCTTCAGGTGACAGGTTTTCTGGCCTGACTTTAGCCTTCTCTTCTGAGAAGTGGGCACATCGCACCTAGGTTCCCTCCTTCTCTCCCTCCCCCAGCTCCCAGCGCTGCTGCAGAAGTTAAATGATTCCAGAATGGGGAAGGCTTTGAGGCGTGGAAGGGGCTTGGGTCTGCCATGCACGTTCCTTCCTTCGTTATTTGTTTGCACAACAAATATTGATTGACAGTTCTGACCCAGAGATGAATCCTACACAGCCCCTTTCCTGAAGGAGATTTAAACACAAGAGACCAAGGCCCTAGCGGAAGGGACAGAGAGTGCAAAGAAAGAGAATTTCACCCAGCAGAAAGGGAGTGGGAATGTGCTAGGCAAAGGCGTGCATTTCTCTTACCGTGAGTGAAAGAAACTAAGCATCTCTCCCCATGTTTGAAAGCCGTGTGCACTCCTTTTACTGTGAGCCAGCTGCTTATGTTCTTTGCCATGTTCCTATTGACTTTTTGAGGCTTTTTTTCTTATTGATATACAGGAACTCTTTATATATGAAGGACACATGGCAAGCTGCAAATATTTTCTCAACGTGTCTTTGAATTTGTGATGCTTTTATCTGATGCTGAATTTTTAGCTGTTATAGAACCAGATTGGATCCATTTCTTTTCTTTTGTGCCTTCTGGGTTTTGTCTCAGACTGAGAAATTCTCTCCTGACTCGGAGATCATAAAAATCGCCTTATGTTTTCTTTTACTTTTTTTGGTTTTAATTTTTTTTTTTTTTACCTTCAAATTTTTGATCCATTAGAATTTATTCGGATGTAAGTTTTGAGGTAGGAATCAAACTTTATCATTTTTTTTCCAAATGGGCAGCCATCTGTCCCAACACCATTCATTGAATTGTCCATCTTTCCCCCACTGATGTAAATGTCAAACTTATATACTAAAATATATAGATTTGAGTATCTAGATTGTGATACATTCTCATGGCTTTCATTGGTGTATCCAGACACTAGTATCTCGGTGTGTTAGTTACTGTGGCTTTTGATATGTTTTCCCCCAGCCCTTTTCATATGAAAAAAAGGAACCTGGGAAGTAGCTTGTATCATCTTCCTCCCCTCCTGCAAGAATCCAGTTAGCATTTTTTCCTGAGATCGTGCTGAATTCATAGGTTAATCCAAAGAGAAAGGGCTTTCTGTGATGCTGAATCCAAGAACAGAGCACAGACACTCTCTGACTTAAGATGATTCAACTTAGTGAAGTTTCAACTTCACTAGGGTGAGAAAGCAGTATTCATTCAGAAGAACTCGTACTTTGAATTTTGATCTTGTCCTGGGCTAGCAAAACACAGTCCACCCTTGCTTGTACGGCTGGGCGGTGGCAGTGAGCTGAAGCTCCCAGTCGGCTAGACAACCATGGGGCTCGACATCGAACACACTTACAAGCATTCTGTGCCTATAGCACCATTCTGTTTTTTCACTTTCCGTACAGTATTCAATAAATTACGTGACATGGTCCACACTTGATTATCACACCAGGCTTTGTGGTAGATGATTGCCTAGCTGCAGGCTAACCGGCGTGTTCTGAGGGCAGTGTTCTGAGTGTTCCATTTGAGGGCAGCTGGGCAAAGCTGTGATGCTTGGTGGGTTGGGTGGGGTAAATGCGGTGTGTCTTAGGATATTTTCGGCTTACAGCTGACTTCTTGGGACATAACCACATCATAAGTTGAGGACGATCTGTATCTTTACAGGTGTTCAAACTTTCTTTCATAGCATTTTGGAATTATTTTCATGGATATCGTACACATATCTTTTGCAATGATTCCTACTTACTTCTTTTTATGCTGGGTCCTTCATTACATCTTCCAACTGACTCTCATTTAGATGACAAAGCCTAACAGTTTCTACATATGAACTGTAGGGGCGCCTGGGTGGCTCAGTCAGTTGAGCGTCCAGCTCTTGATTTCAGCTCATGATCTCACCGTCATGAGATCGAGCCCCATGTTGGGCTCTGCTTTGAGCGCAGAGCCTGCTTCAGATTCTCTCTCTCTCTCTCTCTCTCTCTCTCTCTCTCAATCCCCCTCTGCCCCTCCCCCACCGGTGCTCACTCTCTTGCAAAATAAATAAATAAAAGTATATGAGTTTTACACTCAGCCACCTTACTGAAATTCCATCTTTGTAATACTGTTTCATTTGATTCTCTTGTTTCCAATTATGCTATTTGCAAGCAGCTATCATGTCATCTGCTTTCCTGTTTCTGGGCCTCCCTTCTTTTCCGTACCCACTCACATTGGCTAGCACCTCCAAAACCATCTTTACAGTTACCATTCTTGCCCCTGATATTAATTGGGAGGCTTCTGATATGTTTCCCGAGAAGCCCCAGGCTGGCTGTATTTTCTTCATGGTAAGGAAACGTCCACTTGGAAGGAGGGTTTGTTGAGTGACTGTGGAACCACATTGTGTGTGGGGCTCTGAGCCCCAGTCTCTCTGACCAGTGTTGGGGCTTGAATGCTTTGCCATGTGCTGTGATCGCTCTGGGGAAATCTCTTCCCTTTGGTCAGGCAGGAGATACAGACTCCTTGACTATCGTTCAACTCTCCCTCCTCCCGCCGAGGCCGACTCCCCAGCCCTTCCTTCCTCAAATGCACGGGTGCTTCCCCTGAATATCTTGCCATCTGCTCAGGCCTTAGAATAATTCTGTGTGTGAAGTTGTTCAGCAAGTCCTGTCCATCACAAGGGCTGGCGTCGGGCCTGGAATCTGACCCAAGTCTTTTATAAGACCAAAGACTGGCTCCCCGAGGGAGGCGGGGGGCGGTGCCAGCGCTGGGGTTAGGACCCCCAGAGTGCTGTCGTTGCGCCTAAAGCCAGACAAGAACACAGGCTTGGCAAGGCGAGCAGGCTTCTCCCAGGCTCTGGCGACTGGTGTCTGGGATCCTCGTTTTGAAGCCCACAGGTTTCTATAATCTGCACATTTCCACAGGATCTCACGCAGAATACCCCATCATTTCAGCACCGTGGGGCCTGCTTGCTGCGATGAAGACTTGGGCCATAAAATCGAGCCATTCCCCCGGGGAAGGATGGAACGATTGAAGAGGCTTAGCTTAGTTCTTCTTTAACCTCAGAAAGCATTTACAGAGCGCGCAGCACAGGGCATGTCATGTCACTGAGGGCACCCGCCTGCTGGAGCCTATGGCCTCACAGGGAGGGCGAGGCATGGAGAGGGAGTGTAACTTGCCTGGATTCAGGAGCCAAGCCGGGTCTGGAGGGAGTCCTCTTTGATTTCCTCCGCCCAGCTTCCCTCCCCACCCCCAGCTCCCTTCGCACAGATGTGGACAGAGGCCTGAGGGGGCCCGTGCCTGGCCCGGAATAGCTCGGCCCCACTCCTCACCCAGGCTGGACCGCCTAAGTCATCCTTGAGCTTCAGGGAAGGAGGCCTGGTGCTGGATTTCCCTGCTTCCAGAAGTTGCTAAGAAAGTGGGAGCCATGTGGTCCAGAGGAATGAGCATTTCCAGGCAGGGGGGAGTGTGAAATGCAAAGGGAGCCGTGGGGAGGGGCAGTGGGGGCTGGGCGGGTGGAGGGTGCGGATGGAGGGGGACTGTGGGCTTTCTTCTGAGGGCTTTAAGCTGGGTCTGTGCTCATGGACGGTGCTTGGGACAAAGACAGAGGACAGCACAGAAGCCACGACGGGGGCCCGGGCAAGCCCGGGGCCCTGCTGCTGACAGAGGCCAGCATCATCCACAGACCATTAATCCAGAGCTCAGCTCAGAGGCGCTGGAGGCCCCCATGCAGTCGCCCAGGTCTGGGACTGGAGCCTGAGGAGCTAGACCAGGGCCTTGCGTCCAGGGGGACCCTGCGGCAGAGTGGGGACGGACGTGAAGGGGAGCCGGCTGGTGGCCGCCTCTGGGACTGTCCTGCCCTCTGGGGCCCTGACCCCTTCGGGCAAGGCGCCTGCGCTGTTTCTTTCAAGTGGCTGCCTTCACAGCTACTCTGAGAGGAAGAGGGAAGGGCTGGGCCCAGGCTGGTGAGGTTGCCGCGTCCAGCCACAGTCAAGGCCAGAGGGACGCTGGGGCCCTTGTTATGGTCACCGGTCCCTGGAAGGCCAGGACTCGTCTGATGCTGGGGACACGCCAGATCTCAGCCAGGAGGCTGCCCGTTCCAACACCCAGGCTGTGAGCACCCGCTGGCAGCCCGTCGGGAAGGACCGGGGCGGCCACGACCCCCCGCGGGGCTTTGTGAAGCCGTGCGGGGTCCGTTAGCCGCCACGGCTGCCTGGCACTCGCCCACCCCACCCGCCCACCCGGCCAGTGAATCAGCCGGGAGCCAGGGCTGCTGACAGGGAAGAGGAGAGCGGTGCTGATGACTTATTTATTTGTGTTGTTTGGAGGAACAGACTGGTTTGTTTGGGCTCTGGCTGCCTGGCAGAAAGGCAGGCGGGGCGAGGGAAGCAGCCCCGCCGAGCCCACGGCCACGGCAAGGTGCCACTTCCTGCCCTTGGTGTTCAGGAGACGTGGACTGCGCGCCTTTCCGGGCCAGGCGGCTCAGGCTTTTGGGGCCCTGAGCCTGCTGGGGGCGGCATCTGCCCGGGGCCCGGGGCCGGGTGGGCGCTCGGGGTCGGCGGCCAGCCCTCCCTGGGGACAGCGGTGGCCTGCGGCGGAGTCTCGTGCAGGGAGTGGGTGTTCCTTCACCAGGCATGTGGGCTGCAGGGGGTGGGGGTGGGGAGGCAGAGGGGTCCTCGAAGGCCTCCGCGGATGGAGTGGAGGGATTCTCGCTCCCCACTTGGCCACACGTGAAACCATCCCACCCCCCACCCCCCCAGAAGCTTTCCTTTCCCCGGTGCCTGCGGACCTGGGGTCCCCGGGGCCCTGGGCCCTGTCCTGCAGGCCACATGTCACCGTCCTGATGCTTCCAGGCACTGAATGCAGAGCCCCTGAGCGCTGACAGAAGCTTCCAGACCTTCTTGTCCGTTGTTTGACCCCATCAAGCCCTATTCGGCCTAAAGCCAGTGTGTAGGCAGGAGAGGTTCTAGAATCATCTGAATTCACTCTGCTGAGCCCAGGGAAGGAAACGGAAGTGATATGAGGGGCCTCACACTCGCTCCTTTGATCCACGTGGAGGTGTTATCTGTGAAGGTCCCACTGCCCCCCCCCCCCCACATGCCAGGGCTGAGGCTCAGAGAGGGTGACGCTCTCCTGGAGTCACACAGCACACGGGGGACAGCAGGGACAGCACACGGTGTGGGACAGGCACACCTGTCATCCAGGCTCAGTTGTGCTGAGGCGATGAGCATCCGGGAGTCCCCACGGCTCGAGAATCTAAGGCCGATCTGGGGCTCACATCCCACGGCCTTCTGGGACATCTGTGGCTCTGTGCGCGGAGCGTTCTGTAACCCAGGCCGACGACACACATTCCATCTGGGTCAGGATGTCCCCGCGACTGAGGGGAAAGATGCCAGCCACACGGTGAGGTGGCCCTGAGGCTTCCGATCCGAAGCAGTCGTGACACTTGGGCTCACGCTTTCGGCCAGAGTGTGTCATTTGGCCGAGCCTGTCGGCAGCAGGATGGGAAGGACAGTGAGCATGTTGATAAGCGTGGACTCGGCTTCACTGGCCCAGGGCCCGTGCTCCTCCACTGCGCGGGACAGCCTCAGCCCTGCTGTGTGACCTCAGGCCTGTGGCTTGGCCTCTCTGGGCCTAGATCTATTGAGCATTCCTGTGTGCCCAGCACTTGCTGGGTCCTTTCCCCTCTAGGCCCTGGGTGAGGCCTCATAAACACCACCACCTCCACTTTCCAGATGAGAAAAGTAAAGCTGTTTCCCGAGGTCAGAGAGGGAGAAAGGGGCCGAGCTGGGCTTTGAATCCATGAGCTCCAGAAGGTAGTCACCAGGGCTACCAGCTTGTCACACGGACCCACAAGCCACCTGGTGAGTGGGCTCAGGGCTCAGGTGGCCTAGGCGAGGTCGGCCACGGGCCCTTCGGCCATGTCCCAGCCAGCACCAGCCTGGCCGGAAGCCCTGCCGCCGGAGTACCTTTCTGCCCCGCTGGCCTGGGCAGCTCGCCTCCCCGTCCTCAGCGGGGGCGTCCTTCTGGCCACAGCCGCCCCTCCTGTGGACGTAGCCGCCCCGTAACCAGTAGGTGTCAGTGACTTTCCTCCGGGTTTTCGTCTATCGCTCGGGGAAACACTGAAAGAATTCGAGTCCGTGAATCTCCCAGAATGCACTGAAAATCTGCTCTCTGTGGCTTCGGCTGGCTTCACATCTTGCCCCATAAAACAGCCTCTGTTTTATCTTCTGCCCTTTACAGAGCATATGTGTACACACGACAAAGGGCCCTGCATCTGGGTGGAATTAATTTCCAAATCACATTTTTTAAATTAAATTAAAAAACAAAACAAAACAACCCAGAATGTTTCTTACCGACCAGCCATGAGGAAAGCAGGCAAAGAAGGGCAAGAGCTGTGCGGGGGTGCTGTCCGTGGCGCGGGGGTGCTGTCCGTGGCCCGGTTGAGAAGCACAGGGCACCCTGTGGTGTGTTGTGATCGCCAGCTTTACTATTAACTGTTAGTGACTGTGCGGTGAGAAGGTGAGATCTAGTGAGGAAGCTAGTTATGTATCAAGGTCACTGTTGTCACCAGCTCGCCATGGCATTCGATGTGTGTCAGAGCTGTGACCAACAATCCCACAAAACAGCCAAGACAACACAGTGTGTTCAGGGAAACCCAGTGACCTTGGGAGCCCAAGGGAGGGTTGGGTCTAATGGGACATCCAGGAAGGCTTCCTGGAGGAGGAGATAGCTGAGCTGAGACATGGGTGCACAGGAAGGTAGGGAATGAGTTCCAGACACAGACAAAGGCCTCGAGGTGACTTGTCTGCCCTGAGAACCGGGGAGCACCCTTCCCGGACAGCATGGTGCCGTGGTTAGGAATCCGTGCCCTGGGGCTGGACTTCTGGGTTCAAATCCAGGCTCTGCACTTAATGGCCATGAGATCTTAGATGAGTCTCTTCACTCCTCCGAGCCTCAGTTTCCCATCCGTAAAACGGGGATGGCGGTGACAGCGGTGAGGCCTCCTGTGTTAGCGCTGAGCGCTGAATGGGCTACGGCGCAGAGCGCGCAGAGCCGGGGGCCGGGCTGCTGCTTCCGTGCCTGTTATTATTTCGCAGCCCTGCTGGCTCAGGCCCAGCTGCGGGCCAGCCACCACCCCCCGCTGGCATCCTGGTCTCCTCCGCAGGGGTAGCATCTGTAAGCAGCTGGCCCTGCCTCCCCCTGCCGCTCCCCTCCTTCGCCCCGAGGCTGCTGCCATGGGAACCACCAAGGAAAAACCCGATGCTTGGAGCGATCTGCTGGGGCTCTGGGGAGGCTGCAGCCAGCCCTCCTCCTCCGTCCACACGGATGTGCACCCCGGGCCTCCTGCCTCAGCCAGCCAGCCGGGGCTGCCAGCCTCTGCTCCCGCACAGAGATTCCACGTCCAGATGTACCCAGGCGAGGCTGGCTTCCCCTTGAAGTGAGGCAGCTTGGGGCCTGGCTGTCAGTCATTCACACCCTAGCATGAACAAGCCTCTGAGACTGCTGAAGCCCCATGGAGGTGGTGACTGGAGGGGGCGGGGGCTACACACGGGGAAGGAGGGTGGCCGAGATACAGACTTGCATGTCCCCCTGCACCAAGCAAATGCCAAGCCCTGAGCACTTACTTGCCTGCTCCAAGCTGAGTGCTCCGATACTCAGAGAGCTCCCACCTGAGGGGCCTCGAAGCGCCCAAGCCAAGTCTTCAGGGGGAAAAACTGGCCAAGCAAAGGGGACGGAAGGCCTTCCAAGCAAAGAGCGCATGTGAGCAAAAGTGAGCGGCCCTGGCCCCAGGGGGCAGACGGCAACGGCCTCCGTCTCGCTGCTGAGGCCGCGGCTGGGTGGGGTGAACAGAGACGTCTCTTCCAGGGCCCAGAGACACACAGGGGTCCTCCCAGGCCACACAGCAAAGCTGGGCCGAGGGGGAGCCTGACGGCAGAGCCCGATGTCCTGGCTCCAGACCTGTGCTCTCCGGCCACAGGCAGGGTCTAGAGGGACCTGCACGTGAGGACCAGGACACCCGGGGGCCCTGCCTGGGCCGGGGCTGGGGGAGGGGGCGGCGAGGCGGGACAGTGGCTCTGCTTCTCTTCAGCGCGCCTCCTCTCTGCCCCCGCCCGCGCTCACCCACCTGAACAGATGCGCGCAGCAGGGAGCAGACGGAGGCGCGGCGGAGTGAGTAACAAATCAGTCCTGTTAAACAGCCGCTGTCCCTGGAGAGCACTGTTGGGAGCACAGCAGCCCCAGCCCCGGAAACAGCCCTCCCTGGGCACCCAGGGGACACTCAGAGCCTGGCCTGGGGGTGGGGGTGGGGGACAGATAGACCCAGACAGCTCGGTCCCAGGTGGTGGGGGCTGGGTTTGACGGGCACTCAGGATTATGGGTCAGAGGAGGGGTGCGACCCAGCCATGTAGGAGGGGCAGCACATCTGGAAGGCTTCCTGGGGGAAGCAGTGTCCAGGAGGGCAAGTGGGAGCCAGACAGGGAAAGAAGGAAGGAGGCAGGAAAATGGAAAAGGCTGCTTAGGGGGAAGGCACGGCTTGTGCAAAGGCCCTGTGTCCCAGTGAGCAGGGCACGCTCTCAGTGAAGGGGCAGGGTGGCGGGGAGCCGGGCTTCAGCTGTGAGCGCTAGCAGCCTAAAACTCGCCCTCACTTCTGCTCCTGGACGGTGGGCCAGCCCTCAGCGGGGGAAATACTGGGCGAACGAGCAAGGGAAACCCTGAGAGCCCCAACCGCACACAGTGTGCGGTGCAGGGGGGAGGGGGAGAGGGCGGTGGAGGCGGAAGTGCTGTGTGGGAGGCGGGGAGGGAGGCTGAGCCCACGTCTGCTTCCTGGACTCCTGAGGAACGGAAAGGGGGAGCAGTCTGAAGGTGGGGGGTTGCCGGGGGAGGGGTGCCCCTGCTGCGTTCCCCACAGCACATGGGGGTGCGAGGCGGCCCGGTGTGGATGCCGAGGGCCAGGGGTTTGCGGCTCAGGAAGTTAGGTCGGCTTGTCCTGCATTCGCCCCGTGTCCAGGGAGGTAGGGAGGAGTGGAGGAGGCAGTAAGGGAGGCAGGAGAGCATCCCAGGAGGTGGGAACAGCATACACAAAGGTCCTGGGGCAGGCAAGCAGGGGGCACCCCCAGGAGACGGCTAGCTGGGGGGGGGACAGGGCACAGAGGAGTGGGATCCGAGGATCCAGGAGGAGGCGAACAGGCAGGTGGAGGGGAGTAAGTGGAGGGGGGGCGTGAGGAGGGGAGCCAGGACCCCCCGCTCCCCGGGGAGGGGCTTGTGACCCCTCGTCTCTGGGACCCCGAGGGAGCCCCGTGGCCTAACTGCCGATGGGGGCCGCCGCCGCCCTTGCGCTCAGTGCCTGTCTCTGTTCCCCCCCAGCAATTACACCGCCTTGCTGGGCGTGTGGATCTACGGCTTCTTCGTGCTCATGCTGCTGGCCTTGGACCTCTTGTATTACTCGGCAATGAACTACGACGTTTGCAAGGTTTACCTGGCGCGGTGGGGCCTCCACGGACGATGGATGACACAGGACCCCCGGCGGTGGGGCGACCCCGCCCGGCCCCCGCGGCCAGGGCAGCCCGCCCCGCAGCCCCAGCCTCCCCCGGGGCCGCTGCCGCAAGCCCCCCAGGCCGTGCGCACGCTGCAGGGAGAGGCTCACAGCCCGCCGCTGATGACCTTCCAGAGTTCTTCCGCCTGGTGAGTGGTCGCGATCGAGGCCCCGCGGCCGCCACGGATGGCTTGTCTTTGACAAGCCTGCGAGATGCCGGGTCACGGCTGCCGGCCGGGGTTGGCGCGCCGATTGCCTGGTCATTTGCTTATCTTGTGTGCCAAGGAGGATTTCAAGGTGCCCGCGCTGACAGGCGCCCCGGGAAGAAGGTCAGAGCGAGAGGTGGAAACGGAGCTTGGGAGCCGGGCTTGCAAGTGTGTTGCACTTGGAGCCTGGTGTGGGAGGGGTCGCCACTGAGCCTTTCATGGAGTTGTGAGTTTCCTGGCAGCCGAGGCGAAAGGGGAAAATGGATGGCTTGCCAAGTTCCCACGGTCTAGGCAAAAGAAGCAAACGGGTTTCTGGAGGTTGGGGGATAAGCGTTTTCGGCATGAAGTTAGAAAGTAAGCATATTCCAGGTCGGTTCCTCAGGCTCGCGTGCGCTGAGCGTCAGGAGGACGCTTAGAGGTTTTACAGGCAGGCTGCTCTGCGGGGGCTCCGGGGAAGGAAGGGGGGCGGCCCCAGCAGAGCCCAGGCTCTCTGCCCAAGGGGTATGTTCTCTTCTGTGCTCTCATTTCTGCCCAGTCCCAGGCCAGTGGGGGGAGGGGAGGGAATGACCGACCCTTCTTGGGTGTGCGGATCTGGAAGGAGTGAGGGGGGCTGTACATATATATATATATTTTTTTAAATGTTTTTTATTTTTATTTTTAGGAGAGAGAGAGAGAGACAGCGTGAGCAGGGGAGGGTCAGAGAGAGAGGGAGTCACAGACTGAAACAGGCTCCAGGCTCCTAGCTGGCAGTCAGCACAGAGCCCGACGCGGGGCTCGAACCCACTATCTGTGAGATCATGACCTAAGCGAAAGTCGGACGCTTAACCGACTAAGCCACCCAGGCGCCCCTGTACATATATATTTTTAAACTCTATTTGTTTTGAGAGAGATGGAGACAGTGCGAGCAAGGGAGGGGCAGAGAGAGAGAGGGAGAGAGAGAATCCCAAGGAGGCTCCTTGCCACCGGCACAGAGCCCGACGCGGGGCTTGAACTCACGAACCGTGAGATGGTGACCCGAGCCAAAACCAAGAGCGGGACGCTTCACCGACTGAGCCCCCCGGGCGCCCCACGGGCTGTACATTTCAGAGCCCCAGTCAAGGGGCTGGAGGTGGGGTTCAGATGCCCTGTGGGGGCTGGGCTACAGCCGTGGTCACGTGGGACGGGGGGGCCACATTATCCCGGGACACCCCAATACGGAGCCCCGCCTGGGAGGTCCATCCCAGAGCCACATGCCAGCAGGCGCAGAGATTTTCAGCACAGGGATTGCTGTCAGGTGTCCGAGTCATGTGGGAAACTCGACGTGGCTTTGAGTCCCGGCTCCGCGTTCAGGCAGGTTAGCTTCCAGTCCTCAAGAATCCCCGGCCTGGCCCCTCTGAGGGCTGAGTTAAAAGTCTGGCACATAGTAGGTGCCCAGTTAACCACTGGTGTTTCCTTGCTGGAGACGCACCCAAGCTAGTTGGCGATCATTAAATAGCCAGCAGGTAGTGACCTTTTCCGTAATGAACGACTTAAATAATTAATAAGATGCACTTACAGCGGCTTATTGATTGAATAATTGCCCCATCTATCGTGCGGAAGACAAAAACACAGCCCTGTTCAGCTCAGCTCGGCGCATCCTGACCGAGCCGGTCCTCGGGGCCCCTCCCCCGTGCCGGGCTCCTGGTGACACTGAGGTGACGTGGAGAACCCCGGGAACGGGGCGGGAAGGTACAAGCCCACACAAAGCCACAGGCCCCGAAGCAGACCTGGCCCTGATGGGGGGGAGGGCTTTCTGGAATGTGGGTTCCTTGCGGCAGACGTACCTGGGGTGTTTGTCAACATAAATTCCTGGGATCCTACAAATCAGGGAACTCCAGAGGGGGTGCCTGAGGTGCCTCAGCTTGAGAACCACCGGAAAATGTCATTTGTACACGTGGCCATGGGTTTTCGAGGGCTGGGACTCTTCCATTTAAGCGATGGTTTTCTCCCTCTCTCTGTGTCTCTCTGTGTCTCTCTGTCTCTCTGTCTCTCCCTCTCTCTGACTCTGTCTCTCTCTGTCTCTCTCCCTCCCATTTGGAAAGCCTCACGCCTCTCTGAGCAGCAGGCCTGCCGAGCCCGTCGGGACTGGGCATGAAGTGCAAACAGGAGACGGGGTCCGGGGTCTCTGGGCCGCGCTACGTGGGGACGTGTTGTTTAGCTCAGAGGCTGTCCGTGCCCCCGCCCCCGCCCCGGTCCCCATACCGTGGACTCAGGACCGTACGAGCCGACAGAACACAGGTCGTCAGATGCCGGCGAGCATGTGACGTGGGATGAAGGGCTCACCGGGTGACTTTCTGCTCCGGGCCCGACCTCGGGCGAGGGGCTTCCTGCTCGGGCTTCCGCCGCACCCGCCACGGGGAGGGGGGTGGGCTTGGCGACGGATGGCCGCCGGGCCCCGGCACTGTGTTTGCAGGGTGCCTAGTTCTTGCTCCGACGCCACGGGCAGAGAGGTGACGGAGCTTCCCCAAAGTCACGGGCTGGTGACGGAGCGAGGATGGGGCGCTGTCCCCTGTGCTCGCGGAAGTCTCTGCGCAGCAGGAAGGACACGGGCTGCGTACCCACCTTCCTTCCCGCCACTCAGAGGGGCTAAAGTTTCCCCATCAGCCCCGGCCCCTTCCTGGGCAGAAGATGTGACACTGGGCAGAACCGGGGAAGGGCACGGCCGGGGCAGGGCTGCGCAGGCGCCCTGGGCGGAGAGCCACCAGGCCGTCATCGGGTGTCCGGGGGGTGTGGCTGGGGCGGGAAGGGGGAGGGCTGCACTCAGTGCTTCTCCCAGAGCACGAGCTAGAGGCTGCCCTTTCCTTCCCACACGGTCAGCTTGTCCCTACAAGCGGCCAGCCTGTCCCCGTTGGGCACAGACCCCACGCGCTGTCCCCTGCTCTCTCAGCACCGTTAGCGGGTCCGGGGCTGGAGCTGACGGCCCGGGTTCAAGACCCACCTGCACCACCCGTGCCTCAGTTTCCCCATGAAAGTACCAGGGCAGGGGGGGCTTAACCGTCTCGAGATTCAGTGGGAGGATCCTTCAGAGGCGCTTGGCCCCTGAGGGCTGTGGATTCTCAGGGTCACCTCACAGGTGGATGAGCAGGCGTGGTAGGGGTCCCGCCCTGCAGGGCGGACGGGGAGGCAGAACCCCACCCATGCCCGTCTGCCCTGGGGGTGAGGATCGTGTGCCCCATTCTCACATGGGGACATGGGGGTGCTCAGAGGGACTCACTGGCTTGCCCGGGTCACCCAGCAGAGGGGAGACTGAGGCAGGGCCCGCCCCAGGCCACCTATAAGCTGCCACTGGAGAAACAACCCTGGAGGCCCCATGGAGGAGGCGCATCTCTCCCCCCAACCCCCGTGGCCCCAGACACACCCTCCATGGGCTCCATCGCCAGAAGTGCCATTTCCCGGTCGCCGGCCCGTGGCCAGATTGCTTCTGCAGCAGGATGTCCTCGGTCCCCACGGCCCCGGCCATGGCCCAGCCTGCGTGGGGCGGGGTGCCGTCAGCTGGCCTCTGCTCACCGAGCTGGCTTTCCGTTCTTCCCAGACCAGGAGGCTCTCCGCTAAGACCCCGCGAGCTCAGGCCCCTCAGAGCGGTGACAGCGCCCTTCCGTGTCACTTAGTGCTGTGTCCCCCGCACACGCGCCTGCTCTCCCGGTCCCCGTGTCCCCTTGTCCAGATGCTCCCCAGACATCAGGACCCTTCCCCTCCCTCCCCTCCTCTCCCTTCTTTCTTCCCTCCCCCCGTCTCCTTCCCCTGTCTCCCTCCCCCCTGTCTCCCTCCCCCGTCTCCCTCCCCCCTGACTCCCTCCCCATCTCCCTCCCCCATCTCCCTCCCCCCTGACTCCCTCCCCCCTGACTCCCTCCCCATCTCCCTCCCCCGTCTCCCTCCCCCCTGACTCCCTCCCCCCTGACTCCCTCCC